GGCAAACCTATTATTCGATTAGGATATCCAAAGAGTTGGCGGTGGGTGGTCTTTACTAGCTTCCTTATCACTGTTCTATTACTTCAAAATTAGGAACGATTAGTGTAGATAGCCCTCAGATAGTTTTGAGTACACACATTTGATCTATTAGATTATTAATTACTAATTATAACTTGGGCATAATTTTTGTACAAATCTGCATACTAATTAACACGTGGACGGAACATTTTTACCCATTCTCGATAATTAAATGGTAAAAAGATGATCAATTTTGATTCTAAAAATCGCTTTAACTCAAAACTTCAGTTGTTGTTTAGCACAAAGCTACAAAATAAGATATCTGCACTCTGTTCACTGTCAGGAATCGATCCCGAATTTTAGAATTGTAAGTCCGTAAACTCACTACTGGCTCACGGACGGACTAAGACTTCGGTTCTTTGTATTTTGCTGATTTTTCACCGATTACTTCGCGCTTTTTTTCAAAAATGAATTTAACGGTGTTAATTGTTTTCAACTCGGACTTAGTTTTACTTAACCTTAAGTTTCCTGGCGCAGTACCACTCACAACCGCTAATGGCGCCGTGAAGGTTTGCTTTTTATATATGTGTGTGTGTGTTTCTTATAGCAAAGCCACATTGGGCTATCTGCTGTGTCCACCGTGGGGAATCGAACCCCTGATTTTTAGCGTTGTAAATCCGTAGACTTACCGCTGTACCAGCGGGGGACGTGTTTTTTATATCATAAAGAGGAGCAAGCTCGTCTCTTGCTTGTCATTAAACCTCATTGAAACTTATAAAAGAATAAGTGGCATAATTTAACTCAAAAGACGTAAGTTTGTCAAGTTTCGAACAAGTTTTTATTTTATTTTATTTGTAAGTAGACAATGTCATCACAAATATTATAATACAGATTTTTTTCCCCACGGATTTTCCAGCAGTCTTTATATGTAAAATTAGATACCAAAAAAGTTTCCAGGAAATGCTAAAATAAAAGAAATAAAGAACAAACAAACCACCCCATTTAGAAACACTCGAATAAAACGACAAAATAAAGAGTATATATATATATATATGAACTAATAACTCAAAAACTTCTCACCCGACGCTGCATTAGTGTTTGAATCGTCTAAATACGGTTTACAATAACGGTTATGGATGAATATTGCCCAACAAATACACAACATGTTTTTCTGGGCATCAATTTGGAAATAATCGACAAAAACTAGCATATTTTAAACAGCATAAGTACGGGTATAGCCTAGCATATAAAAAGTGAAAAAAAAGAAATATGTTTTGGTACTTTCAACCTAAGCGACAGATAAGCTTATAGCAAAATTCAAGCATAGCCATTCCTAATTTAGAAATTCTGACGAAAGGGGGGGGGTGCAACCAGTCAACAGTACCTGTCACCTACATCTGAATGACGGGATAGCTGTCACAATTATAACAACCTGACAGTTGAAAGTGCGAAATGTATTCAGTTGCAAATTGCGACTCAAACCTTGGACATTACGCTCAGCAGCCCGATACGTTAACAACTACGCTATGCCCCGCTACTCGTGAAACAAACAATGATATTATTAAATACAGATACTAAAATTATTATCAGTCCTACAAAACAACTTAAAATTCAAATATTTAAAATATCTGCTGTGGTAAAGAAGGGAATCAAAAGATATTTAAAACTGGAACTTTCATGGCATACTTTAGTCAGCATACGTGCGTAGCGCACGAAGCGATAGCGCAACTAATCAATGAGTTAATCAAGACAACCCGAGCCTTTGTGTTGCATCTGATGTGCGTTTTAGGTCAGTAATTCATTGTCCAGGTTGATATGGAAATGGAAATAACTCAACTGTCCAATTTCTAATCTATGACCGCCTCAAGGGACATTGTATTCCTTCTTGTTATATATTTCTCACTAGATCATGCAGCAAAAACGTTCCGTTCTCGCAATGCTACAGGTTTCTAAATATCGGATAAAGAAAGTTGAAAACCAAAACTGACCACACCAAAATACATGCGATTTTAATTCTTTGCGTGGTGATAGGCCTGTGAGTAAAGTACAGTTTAAGTTAATTAATAAGCGTGACTAATAGAAATGACGCTTCCGTTTCCCGTTTTGTTGGAGAAATTTTCTAAGAGCGCATGCGCGCATACAGCTATTTCATAAAGATGTTGAAACTGACAGCTGAGTCAGTTTCGGCATCTATTTCAATAACAGAATAATACAACCGGGCATGGATTGTACCTTAGAAGAACAATAGAATGTTTGTTTTTTGTATTTGTTTTAAACCATCATTCATTGTGTTAATCTGGCAGCTAAAGTGCGCCGCTTGTACAAATGACTGTGTTGGAACAGTCTGTACGATAAAGTACACATTATCTGCTACAAATTTAGTCCTAGGTGATTAATAAAAAACTTCGATCGTTATTGATTTGTCGCATATTGCAGTGTTGTCTTGGATGTTAAATCCTCTTAAACGATTCGTTTTACGTTAATAAAGATGTAAAAAAACAAAACAGAAAGAATATTTCTGAAGATATTAATTGATATCAAATTAGAATTTATTTGGTTATTTTTTAGAAGTATCTTAGAGTTAAGTTAGCAAGTTTATTGAACATATATATTTGGACAGCGTTAAAACTTATTGTAATTACTACACGGCAATATAATACGCTGTATTTTACTACGCTACACTACATTGCATTTGATTATACTCTCTTAACTTACGCTAATTTACACCTTACTATACTGTACTACTGTGAGGCTACTTTATAGTTAAGTTAGCCAATTTAATGAACACATGTTTTGAAAGCTTTAAAAATTATTGACATTATTAAAGTAAATTATATTACACTGTTCTGCACTAAATTCATTATACTATACAGTACTGCACTATGATACACTACAATACGGTATATAATATTACACTACAATGTATTTTACTGTATTATACTGCAGTGTACTATACTACACTATATTGTTCTTTATTACACTACATTATACTACATTGTTTTTCTCCTCTATTACACTATATTGTACTTCATTGTTCTTTAATATATTTTATTGTTCTTTACTCTATTACACTATATTGTACTTCATTGTTCTTTAACATATTTTATTGTTCTTTACTCTATTACACTATATTGTACTTCATTCTTCTTTAATATATTTTATTGTTCTTTTACTATACTACATTGTTTTTACTCTATTACACTATATTGTACTTCATTCTTCTTTAATATATTTTATTGTTCTTTTACTATACTACATTGTTTTTACCATACTATACTACGTTATGCTACATTGTACTTTATTATAATACATTACGTTGTACTACACTGTACTTTAATATACTATATTACTTTATACTATACTTTGCTATGCTTCACTGTAGTGTACTACAAGCACATTATGCTACAGTGTTTTGCACTATAATACATTTTGCTACTCTGTATATTAAACAATTAAAACAGATTTGTACATAACATCCAACAAAGCAGAAAACATAAATCAAAAGTTAAATTAACAGTTCGCAACCAATCATTAGGCTTAATCTTTGTGTCACGTTATTTTTATACGTCGATGTTTATGTATGCTACTCCTGGTTTGTGTCAGGTTATTTTTATACGTCGATGTTTATGTATGCTCTCTTGGTTTGTGTCAGGTTATTTTTATACGTCGATGTTTATGTATGCTACTCCTGGTTTGTGTCAGGTTATTTTTATACGTCGATGTTTATGTATGCTACTCCTGGTTTGTGTCACGTTATTTGTATACGTCGATGTTTGTGTATGCTACTCCTGGTTTGTGTCAGGTTATTTTTATACGTCGATGTTTATGTATGCTTCTCTTGGTTTGTGTCAGGTTATTTTTATACGTCGATGTTTATGTATGCTACTCCTGGTTTGTGTCAGGTTATTTTTATACGTCGATGTTTATGTATGCTACTCCTGGTTTGTGTCAGGTTATTTTTATACGTCGATGTTTATGTATGCTACTCCTGGTTTGTGTCAGGTTATTTTTATACGTCGATGTTTATGTATGCTACTCCTGGTTTGTGTCACGTTATTTTTATTGGAATACTCTTCTCTATGCAAATAAAAAGCTACACGTTGTCATTCAAAAGCTGTTAGGTTTTGTTTGTTTGTTTTGAATTTCGCGCAAAGCTACACGAGGGCTATCTGCGATAGCAGTGTAAGACTAGAGGGAATGCAGCTAGTCATCACCACCCACCGCCAATTCTTGGGCTACTCTTTTTATCAACGAATAGTGGGATTAACCGTCACATATAACGCTCCCACGGCTGAAAGGGCGAACATGTTTGGTGTGGCAGGGATCCGAACCCAAGCTGTTAGGTATCACGTGCAAAAATAATCGCACAAAATATATATTATTCACATGCATACTGTATTTAAGACTTGAATTTCAGTTCCTGTTATCGTATACTAATATCTCATTGGCTAATACTTAAGAATTCCCACTCTTCTTAAATCTTAGTCGTTTTTTTTTCTCCAATCCCATAAATATAATGGTTCTTCTTGTCTTAAGTCAGCATGATGTCTGATTTTTATTTTTTTTAAAGGTACTGCCGTTGGTGTTTCAAACGGAGTCTGTGATTTTTGCCTCTATGAAGGCGAGGGAAATTTTAGCAGCTATGGCTACCCCGCCCCCTATCGGAGTAACTTGGAATGCACTTATAGGATTAAACGAGTTGATGACTCCTGTGAGCTCGAGGTGATATTTCACGACTTTGATCTTACGAGCTATGACACTGGTACATGTACTGAAGACTACCTTCTGGTGGATGATCGCCGTTTCTGTGGAAACAGCTGGAGAGGAAAGTCCAGTAAGTCCATCGCCAAGCTTTCATCAATAAGTACAAACTACAGAGAAGCTCACATATACTTTTAATCATTATCTGATTAATTGATTGTTACCCCTTTTTTATTGTCTAAATATACAGTTATTACCTCGCGCATAAAGCATAATCGTTTTAACCAATTTTATGTTTCAAATAGTTTCATAGCGTTTTTTTTTTTTGTTAATTATCTTAGTCAGTTTGTCAAACTAGTAATAATTGTCTCTTACGTAATTTTATAAGAGGGTGGAAAATTCTTGTTAGAGATATTTCTAATTATTATACTTGATGGCATAAAAAAAAGGTGAAGATGAAATAAAATATTGCCGCCATTTTAAGGTCATCATGCTTTATATTTTGATTTTTTTTTTAACTTAGCGACGATTAATTTTCCAAGACAACTCAAAGAGTTGACGTTTTACTTCCATTCCAACAATGTCATATCCGGAGGAGGCTTCTGGATAGAGGTGAAAAGGAAACCTGGAACATGTACAGGCGTATCTGCTAGTAAGTATTGTTTTGTCCCATGTATTTTACCTTTTCTTTTTGCGATGGTTTTAAGTATCTTATCATTAACCGAGTTTCTAGGAACCTTAGTATTACTGTTACGATGAGTAATTTAAATTAATGTGCAATTATTTTCATCCTAAAGAGTTTTTTCTTCATTCTAAATTTTAGGACACCTTATGTTTAAATTAATATTTGAGCCTAATTTCATTGTATTTTTTGTTTGTTTGTTTGTTTTACATGGAAATCTACGTCAAATGCTATCTCAGTTATAACTGTCCCTAATTTACAACTCATAAACTAGAAAGAACATATGAATTTTTCTCTTGAAATTACCTTGTGTTAGTTATTCAAATATTAGAAAGAACATGGCTAGTCAACAGTACCCACCACTAACAGTTGGACTTCTCTTGTCTAACCGAATAGTAGGATTTGACTATCACTCTTATAACGCACCCAAGCCCCATTTTTTGCAGCAACCGCACGTGAACCACGAATGAACGCTAATGGCTTGACCATTTCCAATCATTTGATCATCATAAGCAGCTTATATAAGGGACTATAAGAGTAAAATTTGGTGATCGATTCCTGCGTTAGCACGACTTTGGTATTTCCAAATGTCCAAACGAGTGATTTAACTTTATGGGGGGTTTGAGTTCTTTTTAACTCACCATATAGTAACCTGAATTAATTTAGGTGTGTGAATAATGTTATAGCATTACGTCTAATTTATTATTCGATATTATATAGCGGACCAACTGTTTAATAAGTATATATAAGTATATATGTTACAGATTTATTATGTTTTCACCAAAGGTGAAATTGAAAATAGAATCTGTGACGTAGAGGCTTAATGCATTTGTGATTCGCCCAAAGAATGTATTAGGCCTCTAATAATGGCTGGAGACGGCTTGAATGGGTAATGAAGAAAAACTTTAATATAAGTTTAACATTACACCAAATGTACAACGTTTCGACAAGGTTTTGTCATCATCAGGTAAGGTTACGTAGTTTAAAGATGGTTTCACGGTATGATTGGTAGTAGATTGGTGAGAGAACATACTTAAAAAGTTATACATGTCATAACAAAGATAAACGTTTAGACTTACACAACCTCGATTAATCGCCGTGATGAATTCAAATTCGGTGACGAGGAACCCACTTTGAGACTAATAATGGCTGGAAACGACTTGAATGGGTAATGAAGAAAAACTTTAATATAAGTTTAACATAACAGCAAATGTACAACGTTTCGACAAGGTTTAGTCA